CCAAAATCCAAATCTGAAACATCACAAGCTAAATGGGTCAACCACCATTTACCGTAAACCAATCCCATGTAGGTTGACAATTAGATGTGCTAAACCCAAAACCATAATCAAACGGTCATTCAACCATATACCCTAAACCAATCTCACATTAGTTCACAATTAGACGAGTTCAACCCAAAATTGTATTGAAACGGTCACTCAACCATATACCCTAAATCAATCTCACATCGGTTGACAATTAGATGGGTTAGACCCTAAACCACAATCAAAAGCTCACTCAACCATATATCGTAAACCAATCCCATGTCGGTTGACAATTAGATGGGTTAAACCCAAAACCATAATCAAAAGCTCACTCAACCATATACTGTAAACTAATCCCACGTTGGTTGACAATTATATGGGTGAAACCCAAAAGCATAATCAAACGGTCATTCAACCATATACGCTAAACCAATCTCACATCGCTTGACAAGTAGATGGGTTCAACCCAAACTGTAATCCAAGGGTCACTGAACCACATACCCTTAACCAATCTCACATCGATTGACAATTTGATGGGTCAAACCCAAAACCACAATAAAAAACTCACTCAACCATATACCGTAAACCAATCCCACATCGGTTGACAATTAGATGGGTTAAACCCAAAACCATAATCAAACGGTCATTCAACCATATACCCTAAACCAATCTCACATCGTTTGACAAGTAGATGGGTTCAACCTAATACCGAATCACAGGCTCAATCAACCTTATACCCTAAACCAATCTCACATCAGTTAACAATTATATGGGTTAAACACAAAACCATATCAAAAGCTCACTCAACCATATACCGTAAACCAATCCCACATCGATTGACAAGGGTTAAACCCGAAACAGTAATCAAACGGTCATTCAACCATACACCCTAAACGAATCTCACATCGGTTGACAAGTAGATGAGGTCAACCCAAAACCATAGTCAAAGGCTCACTCAACCATATACCCTAAACCAATCTCACAGCAGTTGACAATTAGATGAGTTAAACCCAAAACCATAATCAAAAGCTCACTCAACCATATACCCTAAACCAATCTCACATCGTTTGACAAGTAGTTGGGCACAACCTAATACCGAATCAAAGGCTCAGTCAACCTTATACCCTAAACAAATCTCACATAGGTTGACAATTATATGGGTTAAACACAAAACCATATCAAAAGCTCACTCAACCATATACCCTAAACCATATACCCTAAACCAATCTCACATCGGTTGACAAGTAGATGAGATCAACCCAAAACCATAGTCAAAGGCTCACTCAACCATATACCCTAAACCAATCTCACAGCAATTGACAATTAGATGAGTTAAACCCAAAACCATAATCAAAAGCTCACTCAACTATATACCTTAAACCAATCCTACGTCGGTTGACAATTAGATGGGTTAAACCCAAAACCATAATCAAACGGTCATTCAACAATATACCCTAACCAATCTCACAGCGGTTGACAATTAGATGTGTTCAACCCAAAACCATAATCAAACGCTCACTCGACCATATACCCTAAACCAATCTCACATCGGTTGATAATTAGATGAGCTCAACCCAAAACCATAATAAAACACTCACTCAACCATATATCCTAAACTAATCTCACATCGGTTGACAATTAGACGAGTTCAACTAATAACTGTAATCAAACCTAAACCTCAACCATATACCATAAACCAATCTCACTTCTGTTGACAATTAGATGGGTTCAACCCAAAACCATAATCAAATGCTTACTCAACCATATACACTAAACCAATCTCACATCGGTTGACAAGTAGATGGATTCATCCCAAAACCATAGTCAAATGCTCACTCAACCATATACCGTAAACCAATCTCACCTCAGTTGACAATTAGATGGGTTCCACCCAAACTCGTAATCAAATGGTCACTCAACTATATACCCTCAACCAATCCCACATCGGTTGACAAGTAGATGGGTTCAACCCATAACCATAATCAAACGATCGCTCAACCATATATGTAAATTAGTAATAGGTTTAAAAAGTAATCTGACAATGAATTTAGCAAATTATGTTAGGTAGTCTGACTAGTTAACATGTCTATTTCATGTGCCCATGGTGCATGTTCGATCCGTGAAATTATCATCCTTTAGACGTGAGAAAGCAAGAGTTTGATTTTACGCCCTTTGCCATATGATAATCTCATGGCCCCATCTCATAGCCGTGAGATAGTCCTATTCAGGCCGTGAGTTTTCCTGATGGCATGGGGAACTATTTCTTGTTTCACGGTTGCTCTCAGGATCGTGAGGTTCCGAGACGTGAAATTCTCAGTAACTGACCGTGAAAATGACACGGTTCTGTTTTACACCCTTTTTTGGTATGATCATTCATAAATTCTTCACTGTCGACACATTAAACAATATATAGAGAAACGAGAATATCACCAACTAATTCTTCATTCATAACTTCATTGTGATTTATACATTTTCTTAAACTTCATTCAACATCTACATTAACTAAACCAAAAGCAGAACTTGCTTCATTCAACATCTATATTTTCCAAAAGCAAAACGGGCATGTTCATACTCAATGTCGAACTGGTACTGCTCGTTGGAATATCAATCTGGATCTAACAAGTAATTGACGAAAAATAGTCCACAATCAAATATGTAATATAGTAAATAATTATCATGGTCACAATGTGAACAAATAATTACCTAATTAAAATATTACACAAGTGAGCAACAAAAAAGTTACCCATTTGGTTGGGAAGCAATATTTTTGCGATATTTAACCACAAAGTCAGCAAATGAAAATGTCCCGCTGATCTCATCCTTGAGCAATAAATCTAGATCCAGTTTCTGAAAATGAAAATGTCCCACTCATCTCCTCCTTAGGTGGTATTTAACCACAAAGTCGGCAAATGACTAACAAGACAAGAAACAAACCAGTTTCTGCATCCTTGCATCATATTCTTCGTCATGAGTTCTTGATATTGAGTCCCAGATTTCAATTTCTATGGTTTCCAAGATAAAGATCGCCAAATAGAAGTGGCTCACCATGATGTTTTAAATCGGGACATAAATCTGAATATGCACAAACAAACAATAATTATCAATTTATCATAGGATGGTTAATCATTTCCTTTTAGAAAACAACATTACAATATACCTTATCGTAGAAAAGTAGCTCATTTATACGGTATCACTCAAGTATCTTATATTTACCCATGATACCCATAAATTGCTCCTCGTTGCAATAAAACGCACGATCCTAGAAAAGGAAAAACAATTAACCACACCAACTATATGTAACAAACACATAGATTATTTCCTTGCCAAGAATAAACCAGCAGATAATTGTACCAAAACTGAAGGTGGAAAGAACCAAGACAAGCCACCACTGCGACCATTCTTTCGTTCTTCTAGTGTCTTGCACAAACACACCATTTTTATAATATAATGCATCATCATCACATATACCAAAGTCAACATTAATAGCTCTATGTACTCAAGTACACACACAAAAGACCTCACCCTTGTTGTAAGTTTCGTATTGGGCAAAAGCTTACCAAATCCTCACGATTCAAGGAAAAGCCTCGCCATCAAGACTAACCAACACGTCACTGTTATAATAGAACAAGTTCAAACACCACAACATTAGAATAAGGCAAATAAGAAAGACATCCTACAGATATGGTCCAATCTTACTTATAATGATTTAGGGAGGTACCTTGCGGGAAGCTCACTACTAAATGCAAATTGAATCATCTTTAGTGCCTCCTGAGTCAATGTTGTCTTAACAACAAAGGGAGGAGCAAAGTACAAAAATGGTGCTTTCTTAGATTTGGGATTTACCCGTATGAATGGAGAGACTACATACAAGCTAGGCTCACTACAAAAAAGACTGGCAGATGTTACCAGGCGATTGGCGTCACAAAAGGCCTTTTCTCGTCACAGTAGGTTTATTTTGACGAAATACGGTCGTTGGTGAGTCATAGGGTAAAGGTCCCTTGCTAATAGTTTAAATGTACTTGCGTCAGAAAATCATACATTTGTGACAATTATTTTTTATCATTATGCAAAATATCGTGATCAGAAAAGAAATGTACTTAACGAAATTGTTTGACCAAATCTATTTTTAAGGGATGAAATATTTTTTGTGAGGAGTACATTTTGTTAGATAAACTATAATTGAAGAAAACGTGTTTGTTAGTAAAGAAAAACTTCGTTAATAAAAAGATGACATTTTTTTTCCGAAAATACCCTTTATACGTTTTGACCACAATTGTTTGTCATAAAAGAACATTTTTTGCAAGGGTTAATTATGTTCCTAAAACACCCCTATTGTATTTATAATGAATATCTTGCGTCATGAAAAACTATTCGTAATAATTGTAAATTTAGTTTCCAACGAGAAAATAAGGTCAGAAGAAAATATCGAATATTTGTGACGCAAACGTTTCGTAGGGAGAAACTAATTAATTTATACCAAATTTTGTGTTCATGTAACCAGATTATTGCGTTAAAAATAGGATATTTGTCACACAAAATATTCGTCAGAAGAAACATATTAAATCTAACTAAATTGGTGTGTTTAAAAAAGAATATTTTTAGTATAAAATATTTGTCGAATGAAACATATTAAATCTAAACAAATTGTTGTGTTAAAAAAGAATATTTGTAACACAAAATATTCATCGGAAACGACTTACTAAAGCTAACCATTTTGTTGCATTACAAATAGAATATTTGCAACACAAAATATTCGTGGGAAGCAACTCAACAATTCTAACCGAATTTCGTGCTATTGTAACCAAATTATATCGTCAAAACTACAATTTTGTCCGATATTGTAAATATTTTTACTATATATTATTAGTGATGAAAGCTGAGAGATAATAATAATAAATTTTATTTTGTAGGTAATTTATTAAAAGCATAAAAGAAATTAACCAATGCAATATATTAGCAAAAAAGAAAACTTCTCCATAAAATTAGGTGGCATAACCACCAAAATTGTCTTAAACAGAGACCACCTTCAACACTTGTTCAAACATATAACAAAACAACCAAACACTTAACAAAACAAAACCTAACATAAACATAATCCGATTGAAAAATGGAACTTGCAAAGTTCCTAAGACTGCCTTCTTCCTAGCTGCAAACTTCCGATTGAAAATTGGAACTTACAAAGTTCCTACTGCTCCCTTCTTCCTAGCGCTGCAAACTTAGTAATCATCATCATCAGGGGGAGCTGTTCTCATCGTCAATACCGTCCGCATCTTCATCATTCACTTCCTCGTCTCCATCTTCATCTTCATCATTCACCCCCTTGTCTCCAGCCTAAATTACAAAGTTAAATAGATCAACCAACTAAGGTTCATACCATTAATCATGCTCAACCAACTAAAAAAAAGCAACAAACACTTACCATTGAGGACTCTACCAAAGTAACTCCTAGCCTCTTCAAGGTGTCCTCGACAATCTGAGGAATTCCATTCTTCACCTGCACTAGCTCTTCTTTCAGCATGCTTATCATCTCATCATTCTTCACCTTCTCTTGCCTTCGGTCCTCTTCACACATTTTGCTGCAGCCCTGACGGGAGGTAGGGCCAAACACATCCACACCACTTACCCCAAACCCATTCCCAGCACACGTTTCCTAGACTGTTTTCCTACAACCTCACCATAAATCGCAAACTGGTTCACCTCTTCCCCTTGACTGAACTTCTCAGCTTCCTTATTCTTCAATTCAGCCTACACACATAGTATTTAATAACTAATACGCTGAGTTTAAATAATTTTAAAAACGCAGAAGAAAGCTAAAATTACTTAACAAGCAATGTACTTACATGTATGGTCTGAGCTTTTGGGGTGGTGAATTCACCATTGGCCTTCTTAACATGGAACTTCTTAAATGTCTCTATAGGATCTGGTTCTTTTCCAGTCTTTTTGATCTACAAACACAAGAAAAAAAAAAGAAGCAGTGAGCTCACACTTCTCATAATTAGCTTCGTTCTTATTAAATACAAGAGAACAGATCGTGTTTTACCTGATCAAGCCTAAACTTTGCCATGGGAACAAATCCGCCAGTACCAGTGATCTCAGACTTCTCACGATTGGCTTTGTTCTTATCACTGGTGCTCTGGCGGAGTGTACAGACAATAGAAATTAGATACAAACACAAATAATCATAATACACAAGCTTAGACAGCAGTAATTACCTTCCAGTTTGGGTCACTCCACTTGTTAACCATATCCCTCCAAATATGAGCAGGGATTTCAGTAGGTGGATTGTTAAGCCCTTCAGCAAGGGTAACATGTTCGAGAATACTCGGTTACGGAACCCATACATCCACTGGGAAAAGTTCCTCTTGATATGTTCCTTGTGATGAACATTGAGTTCTTCCCCTGGCAGAGAGCATGTGAACCCAGATTCCCTGAAACGAGCATTCACGGTCGGCAAAGCAGAAGTAGGGTACTCTGAGAACCTTATCCATGGTCCAGTGATGCTCCTTTTGAAGATGGCAGTGAGTTCATGGGCAGCGTGTGGTGTGACGATCCTACAAATACTAGAGAAAGTTCATAAACATTAATCGACTCAATGGAAATTATTAGGTTCTACACACAAAAGGCTTGAAATTATATATATACCTGTTGTCATGTATCTCAAGGTGAATACCATGGCCCGACTTCACCCCTATTCCAGGACCTCTGCCTTTCTTCTTCTGAGCCGAAGAACATCCCGCAGTAGAATGATACCCCTGGCTTAGGTTTGCATCCTCTTCAAAAGCTATGTCATCATTCGGGGGATGAACTTCTTCATTCTCAAGCTCATTCACTTGTTGTTCACCCTTCCTTTCTGCCTGCTGAGTTTCTGGCATATGGTTTCACTTTCCTGAGTAACCACTTCGACATTCTCTACATGGGCTGACCTTTCTGGTTCCTCCACTGGCCTTTTGGAAGGCTTTGTCTTCCCACCCTTTTTTGGCCTTCCCATCTAGAAGAAACAACATTCACATTGTTACAGGGACAATTTAAACACAACCAATACATGAAAAGGAAAGGAACCAAGAGAAAATTAATTAATTTGTGCATTCAGACTTAAGCTTTTCGTCTGTGGTTTTTTGTTTGCCTGAGGGGGAGGGGTTCTATCTAGGTTGCGAGGTCGTTCTTTATAAAAGAAGAGGGATATATATATATAGGGTAAAGACTAGGGTAGATAATTGGGGTAAAGAATTGGATACAGATGAGTTTATGAGTTAAGTTGTCGACGAGTTGTTTCTAGGAATAAGGTAAGAAATTGAAAGCTAAAGACTCGATCGGATGAATCATCAAACGGGCAACTTAGAATTAACTGCGCAAGTTAAATGCAAAGTTAATCTAGACACTTCGTACCGCCCAGAAACTCTGCAATCAATTCCGATGGATCACCTTCTCGCGTTCCATGTCTCGCGCCTCTCCATCCGATGGTGGATTCTCCGCTGTCTCCTTCATTGCTACTTAAAGTGTCAAGAGATTCCAGAAAGATGCTTTGCTTCATTAAACCTTTCACTCGAATTGTGACACTGCCCTCGGCAATTTTGATTCAAGGGAAGACGCGCGAGCTCTCGATCGACGAAGCAGAAATCTAGGGATTCGTCTAAAAATGAGGAGGCAAAAGAGGCGGAGGGGAATTTGCCCTCTTCCACAACCACATTCGATCGATGACAGCGTTTTAGAATTGAAACGTCTGGCGTTTTAGTGCGGCGGCGGCGTTTCATCAAACCACCAGGGTGTTTTTTATTTGAATAATAATTATTCTATATAAGTGATTTAAGTAGCATATGGCATAATATAGTAATTCATTTATGCTAATATACTTTTATATAAGTCATTTAAATATAGTAGTAAACATTATCTATATATACCTAATATTTTTTTTTATGAATATAGTTATTTAAGATTTCAATTTTCTAACAAAACAATATTAGCATAAATGAATTAGTAAAAGTAACTAAATCAAAATTGATAGTAATAGTAAAAGTAACAAGTTCATAATGTATGAAAGCAAAATTTAAAAGTCATATTACATGATTAATGAAATTCTTCATAACCCATGCCACGCAAATTTAAGTTAACATCGTCGTCCTCATCCTCGATAACTCGACCCCCATTAGTCATACCATCTTCTGGTATGCTTGTTCTTCTAAAATTTCTTCGACATCCGCCACATTATAAAAATTCCTCGGCCTTGTCTCAACCATCATGTCTCATTCCGGATCTCTGGCACACTGCACATAATACACTTGGGTTACTTGACTTGCCAAAACGAAAGGTTCGTCCGTTGATCGCCTTCGTCTTCTATGGAGGCTAATAACACCGTGGCCATCCCTCCTATAGCCTACGCCTTCTCGCGTGGTGTCATACCATTCACATTGGAATAACACTACACGAAGCCCTTCAGTATATCGCAACTCTATGATATCTTCAATTACGCCATAGTAAGGAATCCCCACACCTTCCTCACCTCGCAACATGACTCCACTATTTTGACGTGTTTTTCTAATCTCGTGATCTTGCGTGTGGAATCTAAATCCATTGATGCAATATCCCGAGTAGTGCAACACTCGTTTGTCCGGCTCTCGAGATAAAGTCAACATAGATGGATGCAAAGTTGCAACATTGTCATCAATCATTTTGCCCACCTGCATCATCGAGCAGTTGTTTTTTATTTCTTCTACACAAATATCATAATAAGACAAAACTTCAAAAAATTTCGTGTCGGAATAGTTACCTGAATAGCGAACCACTTTTGGAATTATTCCCTATGCACTCTCTCAACCATTCTCACACCGCGTACAGCCAAAAAATCCTTGTGTTGTCTATATATATATATATATATATATATATATATATATATATATATATATATATATAGTATACGTACATATGAAAATTCTTAAAATAGTGATTATTGTAGCAATACTAAAAGTATTGAAGAAGTATAAATCGTACGTACCGCCCAAAATCCTCGACTTCATCACAGTTTTTCAAGACATAAAACGTTGCAGCCTTACACAAATCATCATTAAAGTCCTTCATGTCATGATGAATGTACGAATGAAACGACCGAAACGTGGCAGAATGGACAAATTATGTGGGTGAACGGTTCCCTCCGCAATACTATCATCATTTCTTTCAGGACGATTAAATCGAGTTTCCACATCCGTCATATATTGCGAGCAAAATGTAACGCACTCATCAATCACGTATGCTTCAGCAATAGATCCTTCTGGTCTTGCCTTGTTACGAACCCAACCTTTCAATTTCTTCACATACCTAGTAAAGAAAGTAGGAAAGATTAATAGTTAATCCTATTCATTGGTAAAAAAACAAAAACAATAAATTTTTGGACATGTTTCAAGAATTATTAAAAAACGAAAAACGATAAATTTTAGGACATGTTCCAAGAATTAGTAAAAAAAAAACAATAAATTTTTGGATATGTTTCAAGAATTAGTAAAAAACGAAAAAAAATAAATTAAAGATAATGAAATTCATACCTTTCACTGGATACATCCAAAGATATTGGACGGGTCCAGCAATATTTGCTTCCCAAGGTAGATGGATGGCCAAATGAATCATGATATCGAAGAATGCTAGGGGAAATACGTGTTCCAGCTTACAGAGGGTTATGGCGATTTCAGAATCCATGGCTGATAACTCTTTCAAACTTAGCTCCTTCGAACATATATTCTTAAAGAAATTGCCAAACTCAATTAAGGGGTCCGCTATAGCCTTCGGAAAGAAGTCCCTAGCTGCAAGAGGAATTAATCTTTCCAACATGATATGGCAATCATGAGTTTTCATTCCTGAAATCTTCCCTTCCTCAACATTCACACAATTCCTCAAATAGGAAGAATAACCATCTGGAACTTTTAAGTTTGATATCCACTCGCAAAATTCCCTTCTCTGCGCTGGCAGCAAGCTATATAAAGCTCGAGTTAACACTGTTCTCCCGTTCCTCTCTACAGGATGTAATTCATTTCTCAATCCCATCTCCTGCAAATCTTTGCGGGCATTTAGACTATCCTTGGTTTTGCCTTCAATACTCATCATTGTACCCAAAACATTGTCACACACGTTCTTCTCAATATGCATGACATGTAAATTGTGGCGTAACCTAAGTGAACTCCAATACGGCAATTCAAAGAAAATGGATTTTTTTCCAATTATGTTCTTTACCAAATCCATCGATCTTTTTACCCTTTCCTTTGATCCCAAACACAATTTGATTGAATGAGTGGATCTGATTTGATACCTCGAGTGATGACAATTGCCTTGGTCTGGGCCTCTTCTCTACTCTACCGTTAAATTGCTTCTTTTGTTTGCGCCACTTATGATCCAATGGCAAAAATCGACGATGATCCATATAGCACTCCTAATGCCCGTTCGTCAACCTCAAATGCGCTGTTTCCCCTGCACACGATGGACAAGCTAATTTACCTTTCGTACTCCATCCAGAAAGATTAGAGTAAGCCGGAAAATCGTTGATGTTCCACAACAATGCAGCTCATATGATGAAGTTCTCCTTCTTGAATGCATCATAAGTTAACAAACCTTCATTCCACAAATCCTTCAAATCATCGATAGCAGGTCTAAAAAAAAATCAATACTATTACCCGGAGCTTTTGGGCCAGGAATGAGCAATGTCAGGAAGGTGAAAGGATTCTGCATGCACTTCTAAGGAGGGAGATTATACGGGAATAGAAGGACCGACCACGTGCTGTGCTTGTTGGAGATTATACGGGAATAGAAGGACCGACCACGTGCTGTGCTTGTTGTTCATATTGCCGAATGGGTTGAAACCATCAGTCGCTAGTCCCAAATGAACGTTGCGGGGTTCAGAACCAAAAGATGGGTCAAACTCGTCCAAAGCCTTCCAACTCTCTCCGTCACATGGATGCCTCAAGATCCCATCTTTCGAGCGGTTTAGAGCATGCCATACCATATCTTCAGCATTTTTGGACGACATGAATAATCTTTGTAGTCGTGGTTTGATAGAAAAATACCGTATAATTTTGCACGAAATTTTCTTATCTCTGCGCTTCTTATCCTTATAAACTTTCTTCCACCTTGATTTTTTGCACGTGGGCAAGATGCCGCATCTGCCAGCTCGGCGTAGTATAGAACGCAATCATCCTCACATGCATATATTTCTTCGTAGTGTAGCCCAAGGGCTTTCATAAGCTGCTTTGCTTCATAGTAATTCTTCGGAAGTGATTTTGCCATAGGAAATACAGCCCGAATATACTTGACCAACTGGGTAAATGAATTGTTACTCCAGTTATTCTCCCACTTGATTTTCATAAGCTTTGTGACGAATGACAATCTTGACACATTCGAAGCACATCCCTCGTACAACGGTGATTGGGCCTCTCCAAAAAGTTTGTAGAAATTTTGAGCTTGGGCATTAGGCTCTTCCGGATTCGCTAATGGAGCCATGAGGTCGTTTAGAACACCAAGCATATCATCTTTGCCCATATCGTTATCTTCACCCATATCGTCATCATCTCTACTTTCTTCTTCCATGTTATCATCACCCAATTCTGGACCTTCATCATCATCATCATCTTCTTCATCTTCATCGACCTCACCATGGTAAATCCATTTAGTGTAGTCTCTTCTCATTCCCTTATAAAGAAGATGTACTTCTACCTGTTTCACTGTCATTCTACGCACATTACCATATTTCACGCAAGGACACCTTATTAGACCGTCATCGTCTTTAACATGGTCTGTTGCGTACTTCGTGAATTTTCCCACTCCCGCAAAGTACTGTGTACATGCTCGATTCTTCAATTGTATCCAAGCTTTGTCTATAGGTTCCATACCTACAGATGTAGAAAATTTACGTTGTTAGAAAATATTACGAACAAAGTAAAACTAACTTATTCATGTAAATTAAATTATTGATTTTAAAATAATTGTAAATTACAAACAAATAGTTAATCACATTCAATATAATTTTAATTGAATACCAACTAGGAAACTTAAATACTTCCACTTTAAGCTACATAATCACATTCAATAAAATAATAAATTACAAAATAAAACATATTTGCACGTGTATGGTGTACAACTAGAAAATGCCTAAAAATACCAATAAATTAATAAATTAATAAAAAAATCCGGAAAAACAATTACACAAAACGAACCCCTTACCTTTCTTCGCAATCGTCCCAAAACCGCAGCGGCCAGACTTAGCTTCTCCCAGGCGTCGTTCCAGACTTCCAGAGTTCCAGTTGTCTTCTCAATCGGCGGTGCACTCCGGCGGTGGGAAAACGGAAACTCCGGCAGTGTAGTCCGGCGGTGGGGAAACGGCAACTCCGGCGTTGCAGTCTGGCGGTGGGGAATCGGTGGTGCAGTCTTCTCAATTTGCTATTTCAGAGTTCGTTCGATTGATTTGTTCTTTGTTCTTTGGTCTGCAAAGGTTTTTATAAAGAGTTTGTTGATTGATTTGTTTTTCCCCCTTTCTCCCTTTGGCCGCAATTAAGAGGATGATGTGAACGAACAACAATTTTGATGCGTTGAACAGTTTTAATTCATTTGTATAATTACCATTTATTGTAATTTCGGAATTAATTGGTCTGCAGGGGAAGCACAGCCTGAGATTTGTTTATTGTTCTGCAGGGGAAGAACCTAGCGTTGAATTGATCTGCGGAAGATGGGGAGTTCTCTGCAGATATGTTTATGTTACACAATAATTAGAAACAGAAATAACAAAATCACACAAATTGCATGTAGCGTAACTGGTGTGTACTCTTATTTATGAACAAGAGGTCCTAGGTTCGAGTTGCATCATTCTACAGTATGTGAAATCAATATTTATGACTAATTATTTCTAACGAATTCATATCAACAATTGAAAAAGATGATCTGAAGGGTAAAAAAGGAATATTTAAAAAAAAAATTCTTACATCATAATTCGTCAGTAGTGTTCGGTTTTTGACGATTTATTTTACTAGTTTTGACGAACACGAGTTTGCTCACTAATATTGTTTTTATTCTTTAAGTTTTTCAAACCATTTGTTCATTACCAACGGAACATATGTAGTCATTAATACAAGGTAGGTCGAAAAAAATAAGTTTTTCTGAAGGATAAAAAAATCCTCGCAGATATAAGTATCATTCTCGAAAAAAATATAGGTTTTCTGACCAGTAAATAAAATCCTTACAGATATAATTATTCCAAACTGTACTTTTCCGAGGAGATCATTTGGCGTCACAATAAAACGTACTGAATTGTAGGTCGGTTTTTTGGCGTCACAAACAATAACTATTTTCGACGTTTTTTGTAAGTTAGTGAGTAATGTTATTCATTATTGACGACAATTATAATATCGTCTGTAAAAGTGGCACAACCTTCCTCATATATGTGAAATTTACCTTTAATGAGGAACGATTTAGACATTTCTGATGAATTTAACTGTTAGTCGGAAATAACATAAGGATTTATGAGCAAAATAAAAGTTTGTCACAAAAACGGTTATTTCCAACGAAAAAACTGTGTCATCAGAAGGTTCTGGTCACTTCTGCCAAACTTTTTTGTAGGGCTTCAATTTAGACACACTACGTAGTCCACCTCACTTTCGCCCCTTTATTGTTCAAAAACATAAAAACAAAACCAGTCCATTAGTAACCACACCATAAGAAAAAATATTAGAAAACAAAATCAAGTGTAATACCTTCCCAGTCTTGGAACAACCATCAGTAGCAGCTACACTTTAATCACTCAAAAGCATGAATTTCTCGACTTTAGATGCGTTCGCCTACTTGCCATGAGCCTTTTTCATAACATTGACAGAAGGAGATTTAGAACAGCTGTCATCTGAAAGGCCATCTCCAAATTTTGCCTCAGTCTCAAATATTAACACCTAACCATTGAGTCTTGACACCTTCGGAGGTAGGCGGAATGGGCTCACTTGATTTTTCAACCTCATCTTTCTGATTGTCCTTTTCCCTCTGATAGGCTGCTTCCGTTGAAAACAAGTCAACTATAGATGCTTTCACCTTTTCAACCTCATCCTTCTTATCGTCCTTTTTCACTTCAGCAAGTTGCTCCCTTGACAATGCGTCAACTCTAGTTGCTTTCACTTCTTCTATGATCAACTTCACTGCAACATGAATGTCGTCTCTAAATGTTTGAAATTCTTTCTCCATCTTCATAACTCGGCCCATTATCTCTTCATCTCTAGAACAACATCACCCATTGCGACTTTAAATTCTTTACTGAAGTTTTCAAATCTAGCTGCCAACGTACTAAAACGAGCATCAATACACTCACAAAGAAGCAGCTCGTCCCTGTCGTTTTTGTGCCGTTTCTCGTCATTTTTATGTCGTTTCGTCGGAGGTGATTTCGAACCTGCATCCTCGGATGATCTTTTCCCTGAACTGCTTGAAACCTATAAATTAATTAAAAAGGGAATCAAATATACCATTAGCATGCTCCAACTCGTTACAAGAATCAAATATACCATTTTGCATTATCAACTAATAACGCTTACCACTTTCATTAACAATAAGTCTATGTCTTTGTTCCCCCAACTCATCAAAGGCAAACTTGTATCAATGGTGTGGAAAATACCATTTGCATGCTCCAAGAATATTAACTACAAAACAAAATAGATAAATTGAACATGATGACTAATCATTATGAATATATAAAAAGTACGACTAAGTAAGTATTTACCTCCAAAAATAGCAAGCAACCAGATATATACCGTTTCCTCGAAGCATTATGGCAGCAGATGGATTTCACCATTTCATTGAAGCAATAGGATGCCTAATTATTCTCCAGAATGTCCGCAACAACGGAGACTATGAATGCTGAAGATAAAGAAATGTCAGCTCTTCTGGTAGGTACAAATAGCACCCACATTACGTACAATATAAAAGTTTGAACATATAGATCGCTACTATCTTTTGAATCCCGCAATTTCTTTTGCATTACACTTGTAAAAATCACCTGTGGGCCACAATCAGGAGTCGAGTACACTGGAAATGCATCCAGTTCTCCTGATCTCCCTCCCACTTCTTCACCATCCAAGACGATATTAGTACCACCCTCTGGTACACCCATTATTCGCTCAAAATATTTTGCCGAAATCTTCACCTTCAACCCATGCGCTTGAATTGTGCTCTCTTTCAGATTAAAGCTCCTCAAGAGTTCTTCCAACAACTCACGTTGTAACATTTTACCCTTGACTTCAAGCATCCGACCAAAGTCACAACTCTTAGTGGCCGCTCCAGTAACCTTGAGACTAAGGAGAATACTTTCCTTGGAGAACATTCCGTGCTAAAAAGGTGATGACTTTTTGTCTTCATTATAAAACAATTGCAGCAAATTGAAAAATTAAAATGACAACACGAAAGAAATCTATTGATTGACTAAACTGTTAATAAAAAACAAAGACTTTCATTAAGAAAGACGCATAATAGTAGATCTAACTGGTACCATTGTTGGAAACCACTCAAGTTCATAATGTACCAAAACTGAACCCAACCACTAGAAATGAGTCAACAAAAAATGATAATCAATTCTTTAAACTCCATCTGCATGCATCAAAGTCTACCAAAGAATCGCAAAGAGAGAACTAAGCACTCTGAAATTGAAACGAAAAGCAGCACAAACTCCACTGCTATGACAACTTATGGAAGACTACCATAAGAACAACAATTAAAGACAAGCACATCATGATTAAAGAATGCATTACTAAGATTCAATTACTAAAACCAATACTCATGAGTTCAATTACTCTAGCAATTTATAGGCAGCTCACATCCATACTAACAATGCAAGTAGCAGTTGTTCTATCATCATTTCCCAAAGAAACTCAGTGGAAACCAATGTAAGTGATTCATTGGAGAATTTTGAATGTATTATCTTTTAAAGACCTTTCCACAAACGAGGAAAAAATTTAAGTCATGTCAAATATCATAGCAACGTATCAAAAACCTTGCAGCATCTTAATGACTTAATATAGTTCATCATAAAATAATCATATGTGTTATCTACATCCTAATACTTATATGGAATGCACCCATAAAAGTCCATGTTGGAAGCTGCTTATCTAGCTTACTCTCGACTGATCGTTTTACCCTAAAGGATTAAAATAAGGCAGCAGTACAAGCTCCTTAAGGCAAATTCAATATTTCATCAAGTTAGTTACCTCATAAAAAAGTAAGAAGAGACTACCATTAAATTAGTAACTAGTAGTTCATGTTCTTGATTCATACATTTGCTGCAGAGGAGCTAACTGTAAGCATAAAAGGAACAGATTGTCCCCAACAAAATCTGGTCTATACCAATGCAGTCAAAAGCGCGATTCTACCTAGAAGCGGAAAAGGGGTAAAATCGTAAAGCGTAGAATCAAAGCGTAAAAGCGTAAGTTTTTGACGCATACTGAAAAATAACTAAAAATCTATTTAGTAGGACATATGCTATGCAAATATGAATGCACAGAATTTGGATAAGTTAATAAATACATGCGATTCATGTTTAAAGTAGAGCAACTTATAGCATCTTAATAATAAGTTCGTAAACATAAATTTTAACGATAAACCACTTTTCCCTCTATGCTAATGAATTTGGGAAACCCTAGCTGGTGAATTAGATTACTCTATTGAAGTAGAATGCATCCAAGTACCTAGTATGAATCTTTTAATCTCAAATGTATCATATTGTTAGTGATTTACTTTAAAAATATACTTTTTATAATTAATTTCATGAAAAGAATACTCATTTAGTGAACTAAAAGCATAAAAACGTAAAGCGTTTTGGTGAACTAGAACCGTAAAACCGTAAGTTTTTAAGCTTTAAAGCGCAATTTAGTCCGATTTTATATACTTAAGTTTTTATATAGAAACGAAAGCGTTTTGGTGACCCAAAAGCGTAAAATCGTAAGTTTTTAAGTTTTAAAGCGCAATTTTGACTGCATTGGTCTATACTTAACACAATTATGCTTCACATAGGGGTCAAATCATACAAAGGATGTTTCATGAAGATTCAAAATCGATTGTACCTAGCAAAATTTGCTCTAGAACAGATTACAACAAACTAACAGGAATCAAGAGGGTTTGAGGTAGAATAAAAAAAGGATTGGTTTGGGAAATCATGCAGTGCTGAGAAAATTAGAGGAACTACGAGGCAAATTTGGTTGCGAGGAAAGGGATCCAGATCAATAAGTAATGGAAGGGAAAATGGATTATTTATGGAAAAGTTGAAATCAACCCCAACATTTTTCCAGCCTAACAAATCCAAGACCACCGAATTACAACTCATAGCAATTGCAGAAAGAATCTTTGTCATGTTCAACTACATATCACTAAAGTATTTCACATCACTGAAATACAGTTCATAGCAACTACTATAATAATAATGGCTACTACTTCTAGCTCCTTATGGTGCTGCTAACTTGTACTGCTATTACTAACTCTTGATGTTGTTGTTCACAACTACTGCTACTAACTAATGTTACTAGCTGCTAACTCTTGATGTTATTACTTACTTACTATAAGCCGCTTATGGATAAAGTAATTGACAAACATAGTAGAGAAAATGAAGTTGAATTCACCCCAACCCTCTAAGTAATGGAATTGATTCAATTATATGTAAACCCCAAATTAAGCAAAAATTACATGAAGGAGGAAGAAGAGAAATAAACATATACACTTAGCATTGTCTCTTTTGCCAGAAGAACCCTACAAATCCCAGTAGCATAGAACAAAGTGTGAATTTCAATCCTAGCAGCACATAACAAAAGTATAAAGCTAAAGAAGCATGTAGTTTCAATGCCAAAGCCCCGGTTCCACAGAAACAAGTTCATAAACCTAAAACGGGCATGAAATTTCTGCCCCCCTAACTTAACTTGTAAATCTAGAACATCCCCAATTTTTCAAACTTTGAAATCCTAGAAATTGAATTTTGAATAAAATTGTAGAATTGATAGGCATACTAACCGAAAAATGCAAGAAGATGACTCGGTGTGTGTTGTAGGAGGAATGGAGAGACTCGGTGGTGACTAGTGATGCTGCGGTGGGGGAGGTATGGTTATAGGAGATGCTCAGTTCAGGCGGAGACATAAGATCGAGGTAGGTCAGCGGTCTTCGTTTGCTGTCGATGGGAAGAGGCAGAGGCAGTCGTGTATTGTGAGGCTCTATGCATGAGGAAAGGGAGAGGGGATTATGTGCAGGGGAATAGGGAGAGGTAATGGCAGCGACGAGAGGTAACAGCGGATATGAGATGCTGCAATCCCCTTTTCCATGAAACGCAATCCACGAAGAGATTCTGCAATTGACAAGCTTCTTCTTCTCGTCGTTACCCCCTACTCGCCGCCTTCACTGTCTTCGAAGAGTTAAATTAGTTGTTTCAGAATCTGGCTTGCCGTCACCCCCTACTCGTTGCAGTCAAAGAGAATTGAAACGGAGAATTGAAACGGTCGCCGCAGTGGAAGATAATTGGAACGAAGAAGCTCAACCCTTTTCCCTATTTCAATGTGATTTTTTAATATTATCAAAATTGTCAACTAGTGCAACAAGCAAACAATACCCAAATAAATAAAAAATTAGTTAATTAAACAAGATGCAATGGCTCACAATATTTAACAGAATTCAATGGCTATAAACATATTAAAGCATCAATGCTATATAGCATACTAAAATGCCTCCTTTTGACCACTCATCGATTAGATGACTGTAAGAATGCATAGTTTTTGTTGGTTGTTTTACAACCCTCGATTGTGAAACAACCTCCGTACACTCCTTTTCCCCCCTATTATATTAGTGCTTCAGTATAAATTCTCTAAAACCGTGGAAGAAGTGAACAAACCGGATTTCAACAGCTCAAGCACGACCTACGCCATCACAATGTTCAACAGTGGCAACATGACGTTGCAATTGGACAAGCTTGGACCATGATACTTCATCTATGCCAACAAGCTATACTGCATCGGAGGGATGAAACATAAAGTGAATATGACAGGGAATGCAAATTCTCTTATTGGTTCGCCGGAAGCACATCCAGGGAATTATGCGATATCGACTAGCGCGATATTCAATTCTCGTGGTCCCAAAATGAAGGTTCGAATTCAACGATTTAAGGATCAACTGGGAGCATTCTTGATGGATAAAATGGAGATGCATTAAGGATCGGGCCTACAACATTTCTTGGAGCCCAAAACGTCCATCCTTGCTGCCCAAGTCATCCAAATGTGCAAAGAACAAGGAAAGAGATTGCTTAACCACTAAGGAGCTTCCTTAAGCATTAAAAACGTGTTTGGAGATTACTTAGCTGCTAAGGAGCTTCCTTTGGTCATAAAAACGAGTTATAGTCCTTATTTAAGTAGTATTATGTTTCCTAGTTAGTTTGGGATTTGTTTTCCTATTCCTTTTAGGTTAGTTTTATGTTTTTGTGACCTCTATAAATAGAGGATGTAAGAGCTACGAATTTGGTACCCAACATTCAAGTTATCAATTAAGAGTTTTTACTCATGTTCCTTTGTGAACGTTTGTGCAAGCTTCTGTCGAGAGTCTCCAGAGGTTTCACGTGTCTCTTATCAACTAGAGAACGCATCTAGTTGTGGCGAGCATCTATCTTATATCAATTGCCCCTTTCCACGAGTTGGTGCTGTCCGATTGGTTTCATATACCAATTGCCCTTCATCACGGTTGGGATTGTCCGATTGATTCGCATCTATCTTTATTTTTCGAGTTCAAGAAAGGCGACATCAAGAAAATCAAGAAAGTCAAGAAAATCAAGAAAATCAAAGAATCAAGAAAATCAAGAAAAGATCGTTTTCAAGAAAATCAAGAAAAGATCGTTGGAGCTGCGTACTTTGGTCATATAATCCGAGTTCGAGGGTTATCTTCGGATTTGGATCATATCAAGTGGTATCAAGAGCCCGGTTCAAACGCAGCGGAGAAACAAAGATTCTTGGAGTTCTTGGTAGTTCGAGAACGTTCTTGAGAGTTTCTTGTGCGGTAAGGAAGGTATCTTGAAGACAAAGCATTCGTGGGGTTCTTCTTTAGCAAGAAATCATGGCGGAACAAGCACAAGACGTGGCGGCAATATTACGACACATCAGCGAGCAAATAGATGCTTATCGTCAAGGGCAAGCACAAATAAATGCGAGCCTTACTCGATTGGAAATATCATGGGGAATTAGTGCGTCAGCAGTAATAATCCAACCAGAAGCTTCGTTGAAGATAGGGAATCCAAATCCATATCAAGAGCATTCTTTTAAGGCTACCATAGAGACACAAGAGACAAGTCCAGAAGTCTTTGACATCAAGATTCAAGCAATTCAACATAAAGACAAGGAGGAGTATATTGAAATCTCGACTATGGAAGGTCGACTTTTGGATACTTGTTGTGAAGAGTATGAAGATTCCGATGAAGTAGAGGCGATACAAGATATTCTTGTTGAAGTTCCATATTTGAGTGCGCAAGAAGTTGAGCAACACAATGAGGAACAAGACTGTCATGGAGAAGATGAAGCCACGAAAGTTATGGAGCACTTACCAATAGTTTCCAAAGTTGCTCATATGGATTTTGTGATTGGAGATACTATTTCCAAAGAGGAAGCCCGACTAGAGAATCGACGAGAAGTTCAGAGCTACATGGAGGGTTTTCATCGCAATGGTGTCTCTACAATTTGTGGACGAATTGTTCTTAAGAAGGGGGGAATGATACAATCCTCACTACCAAGACAATTTAATTCAAAGGCCAAGAAGAGTGGTGCTGATCGAGGATCAAGATTCTGTAAAGATTCGAGGTCGAATCTTCTTCAAGAGAGAGGGAATGATGCGATATCGACTAGCGCGATATTCAATTCTCGTGGTCCCAAAATGAAGGTTCAAATTCAACGATTTAAGGATCAACTGGGAGCATTCTTGATGGATAAAATGGAGATGCATTAAGGATCGGGCCTACAACATTTCTTGGAGCCCAAAACGTCCATCCTTGTTGCCCAAGTCATCCAAATGTGCAAAGGACAAGGAAAGAGATTGCTTAACCACTAAGGAGCTTCCTTAAGCATTAAAAACGTGTTTGGAGATTACTTAGCTGCTAAGGAGCTTCCTTTGGTCATAAAAACGAGTTATAGTCCTTATTTAAGTAGTATTATGTTTCCTAGTTAGTTTGGGATTTGTTTTCCTATTCCTTTTAGATTAGTGTTATGTTTTTGTGACCTCTATAAATAGAGGATGTAAGAGCTACGAATTTGGTACCCAACATTCAAGTTATCAATTAAGACTTTTTACTCATGTTCCTTTGTGAACGTTTGTGCAAGCTTCTGTCGAGAGTCTCCAGAGGTTTCACGTGTCTCTTATCAACTAGAGAACGCGTCTAGTTGCGGCGAGCATCTATCTTATATCAATTGCCCCTTTCCACGAGTTGGTGCTGTCCGATTGGTTTCATATACCAATTGCCCTTCATCACGGTTGGGATTGTCCGATTGATTCGCATCTATCTTTATTTTTCGAGTTCAAGAAAGGCGACATCAAGAAAATCAAGAAAGTCAAGAAAATCAAAGAATCAAGATAATCAAGAAAAGATCGTTTTCAAGAAAATCAAGAAAAGATCGTTGGAGCTGCGTACTTTGGTCATATAATCCGAGTTCGAGGGTTATCTTCGGATTTGGATCATATCAGGGAACTCAACCCCTTCTTCCAAAAGTAACTTGCATTTGTTGGGATGAATAGCTTTGAAAAGCTATAAATGGAATTCCTAATTAATTATCCAGTATTTTCCCATAATACATAAATAAGATGGATAATTAATAAAAGGAATATTATGGAGATAATTATGAATAATTATCTTAATAGATTATATTTTAATTATGAGAGTAATTATCTCCCTAATTAAAATTTGACTTATTCCCAAAGAAAGAGGGAATATTCTGGATTTTCTACTCCTATAAATAGGAGACGCCCCAGACCCTCTAAACACACCTCAGATGAGCAGAAACACGAGAGAGAGTGAATTCATAGAGCTCCGGTTTTTCGCATAAAACCGTTGAGCAACAAATCAGAATGGTTGTTTTATCCTGGAGGCGACCGGCTGATAGTCTGCTGTGCACAATACGAAGCAGTGCCGCGAACGTCTTAAAGAGAGCGACCTAGTCCGCGACTCAGCCAGATCGGTAAACCTAATTTTTCCTGTTCGATTTCTAACAATTTTAAAACGCTCGGTTGCTATCATGTGTACCGAACAGGATGCCGATTCTGACTTGAACAATGACTATAGTTGCCGCTCTCGATATGGTCCAATTATGTCCGCCGCGTTTAACATCTCTCCACAATTGTTGATCAACAACGCTAACGATCGAGAGAGCGAGAGGTGCAATGCCTAGGACTATCGAGAATCAGTTGGACCGGGGACGATTTTCTTTGAGGAGCCAGCTGCGGGAAGCTTTTTCTTGGAGAGCAGCAGCAAGGGGTTTTGTTTTGGACCGCTTTTGGGCAATTATTTGGACCGGGGATAAATTTGTTAGCAACCTACCTGGAATGCAACGAGAAAGCCGGGCCGAAGATTCGAATGGGGATTACCTGGGTTGGCTGGAACTTGGAACCATGCGTGCGATGAACAGAGAATTGGGCCCGGAAGCTGGCTCGGTCACTGGCCCATTCAAGTTCGTCCCAGGCTCAATAGAAAAGGGCCTCGTCTAATTGAACTGCCCCTAAATAATTCCTACGGCGGAAACATTGGAAAGAAAGAATTGAGATTCTCAATTTGGTTCCTGTATTATTTTGTTTATTATGTGTGAAACCACAATATAAGCTGACCTTCTTTCCATTCTTGGCGCGATAACGAGGTCGGGGAAGGATGGAAGAATTGCTCTTCCAAAATGCTGGAACGGGCACCTTTATTGCTCCAGTTCAAAGAATTGCTATTCACTACAAATTCAAAAGGCTGAGGTTTCTCGGAAATGTGGTAAGAGCTGAAACCTTCCTCTGAGTCATTAATTAATGATTAACTAGAATCGATTTCATATGAATTTCTGCATGAAATTGAGAAATCTTGTGAATGCTAGAAAGCAATTTAGATGCATGTATATATCGACATTGAGGTGTATTACCTCGATGATTAGAATATAAATTGAATACATGTTGTGGAGTAGAATAATTTTGTTTAAATGCATGCATATATGTGAAGAATATATGGGAAGAGAATGGGTTTACTGCCCGTAATGACGATATTATAAGAAGTACTATTATCAGTACTACACGAACCACTTAGGTTGTTGTGAAACATTAAAGTTTCAAGAATGAGAGCAGCAAGCTGAACCAGATCCACACCAATTAGAATGGTACCCATCGTGGTAGCCATAAGATTGTCACACAATTCTCTAAGAATGACGCTATGTTTCTCAATTAAATTTGAGAAATACTAGCTCATATGACACGAAAGTGTTAGAGCAAGTTTAACATAGTATTGTGTTAACTTGATTAAAGAAGAGGATTTGGCAATAATAATCGCTTAGGTGATGACAGAGGTTAGCCTTAATGGTAACTCTGGAGAATGGTTGTTGGATACTAGCGCCCCAAGGCATGTCTGTGATAGACGATCTAAGATGGATTCTTTTTTGGGACGTGTGTGTCCTTGTAAAGAATTAGAATATCTAAAGTAACATTCCCATATTATTCTCGAACGCTTGAGATAAATAAAATTTTTTTATCCAAGCAAAATGACCCATAAAATATGTGGTTAGAGAATCAGAATCAATAGATCTGATTTATGTTGATATGGGTAAACTTGATGGAAAAGACAATAAATAATTTATTGCTCTTTAGAGTGCTCTGATTGTCTAAGTAGTTATTCGAAATAGTTTGAAATGCCTAGTTGCATTATGATTGCACTGATTATTCGATATGTGGCATGCATGTGGTAGCGTTAGAGAATCAGTGACATGATAACTAGAAGAGCATATGAGTGTGTAAGTTATTGTAAAACACATAAGCCTATGAGACGAAATACTCATTAGTTTGTGAAAACCATTGATGTCAATAGATTCCATTTATATTAAGAAATAGTGGGGGTGATATCCTGGCTACTATTAGCAATAATGGATAACTAGTGGGGGTGATGAATCTGAGTATGAACTCAGAAGAGACAAATGAACCATAAATCACGAAATGATTTTGGTTATGAATTTGTTATTTACACCCTAAGAAAGAAAGATCCTACAAGTCTGCTAGAAGTTCGAACTTCCATAAAGATGCAGAATTGTGGGAGAATCCATTATTAACGAAATGGAATTATTGGAGTCTAATAAGACTTAAAATCTTGTAGAGTTACCTCTTGGTTGAAAAGCCTTGGGTAATATATCGATAGAATCGAACAAGATTTGGCATCTTTGAGAATTACCTCTTGGCAATGAAGTCATGGGTAATAAATGGATTCTTAAAAGAAAAGTGAAACCTATTGGTTTAGTTTATGAGTATAAGGATCGCATAATAGCTAAGGCTTTAAGCGAAAAGGAAAAATTGTAAATTTTCTTGTTATCTATTCACCATATGTAGAATAACATCCATGTATGTTCTGATTGCTAGTGTTGTGCGTCAGATGGATTATTAAACATGTTTATGTGAATGGTGATTTAGATAGGAAAATCTACATGGGACAACCAATAGGGTTGTTATTCCTGAACATGCTTAGGGAGTCTATAGTTAGACAAATCATTGTAAGATTTGAAATAGACTCTAAGACGATGGCATGAATAAACTGGTTCTCTCCTATGGTTTTAAAAGTGAAAGTGACAAGTGCATTTAGTACAAATTTGAGAATGACACTTTCATTATGAATGACACGTCGATCTTTGGTACAAAGACTCGTAATGTCAATATTGAAAAACCATGATGGTTGAGAATTTTGAATGTGGAGGATCTGAATGAAACAAATGGTATGCTTAGAGATCCTAATAACTAGGAAAATACAAGATGTACACATGCTTACATGTTTGATGATGCTCGTATAAATATTTAAAGAACACCTAAGACGGTGTAAGAAAGTTAGAATATACTAGCATTTACAGTCTGCGAGAGGCAACTGATAAACATGAGACCCGATTTAGTGGGGGGGGGGGGGTACTTGGCAGGCTTACTGATTGTCCTAGTATGAAGCATTGAAATGCTATTGAAAAGGGTCATGAGACACCTTAAAAGAACAGAAAAACCTTGGTTTTACTGTATTGGTAGGGTATAGTGATGCGGATTAGAATACCCTATAGAGGACTCCAAGACAACAAGAGTTCATCATGATCTAATGGATCTACAAATTTTCAATATTTTTTGAGGAAAAAAAAATTCTGGCCTCTCGGTACCAAATGCATACCATATGGTATCTTCTTCGTTTTTAATTCGTTTTTGAAAATGTTTGCACAGCAGGGATGAGTTCATCATGATCTAGTGGATCTACAAATTTCTGGGTGAACAAATTAAAAGACCAAAAAATACCACCCTGGTACGGGGTGGTATCTTATGGTATCTTATGGTATACAATGTTAAAAGTCATAAATGACAATTAATATACTTCTACTATCATGTATTCAACCATCCTACAGTTTTGGTTTGTGTCATACCACCATGGTACGCTTTTCAAACCATAGGTATGCTCTTATTTCAATACCAGTCAATACCATATGGTATAGACTGGTAAAAAATGGCTCAATTTATTTTGTTCGAAAAATATATCAAAGTGGATATCATTTTGAAGAGCACAATTAATCTGATCTAACTGTGCAAAAAAAATTAAATTTCGACTTAAAACGAGTGAGAAATCGTCCGTCAAAGATTATGGAGGGGAAAATTAAAGGCTTTCCAGAAGAGAGAGGATGCTGATGTCATGCTGATGTGGGCGGATTACTCATAGTTACTCACAATAAGGTTACTGACCTGATCCGTTCCCCCTTTTCCCCTATTATATTAGTGCTTCAGTATAAATTCTCTGAAACCGTGGAAGAAGTGAACAAACCGGATTTCAACAGCTCAAGCACGACCTACGCCATCACAATGTTCAACAGTGGCAAAATGACGTTGCAATTGGACAGGCTTGGACCATGATACTTCATCTATGCCAACAAGCTATACTGCATTGGAGGGATGAAACATAAAGTGAATATGATAGGGAATGGAAATTCTCTGATTGGTTCGCAGGAAGCACATCCAGGGAACTCAACCCCTTCCTCCAAAAGTAAGGGGTCGTTTGGATGGAGTATTTTCAAAATGAGGCAATTTGGTATAAATGTCTCATTTTACAAAACAAGACAATTGAATGGTATATTTGTTTCAAATTGTCTTGTTTGGGTTGTTATTTGAAATGATGCAATTGAAATGAAACATTTGATGAAAATACACTTTCACCCTTGTTTTCTTATCCTCCTTCTCCATCTTCCTCATTTGTCACAAGGCCAGGTAGAATGCTCCCAGTCACACACAGACTATCTTTTGAGAAACAGAGCAAGGGAAAACAACCCAAGCCCAGGTAGAATGCTCACCAACCAAGCAATAAGATTTTCCCCTGAATCAAAACTTAACCGAATCTAGTCCTGACTGAAACGAAGCTACAGAAACAAATCCAACCCCTTTTCAACATAGCATCCAAAAATCATAAACGAAAAAAAAGGGAAGAGAAAGGAAGCAGGCCAAGACCGTTTTATCATCGTCTACGTTCACGTTCCAATTTCACCGGCGGCGAGGTTTGGCAACGATTTTCCTCCTTCTGCACCCAGCCCCAATTATCGGTCACCGGGATTGCTTTGCAGCACCATCGTCGCTGTCCTCTACATTTGCATCACGGTCGCCACCAATAGAGCGCGAATAGAGCGAGTCGGCAGCGGTCGCTCATGGATCGGCAAAGGGGACTTCCGATACCCAGGACCCAACCGACTCCAGACCTCTAGCAGCAGCGTTCGGATCGGGCGATTCAGTAGCTTGACGCCAGACCAGAACGGAATGGGTGAATGAAGCAGCATCATCGATGTTCAAAAAATAAAAAGAAGAAGAAGATTGATCTTGTTATCATCGCTGGAAAAAAAAAGGAAGAAAGAAGACCAGGGAGAGAGAGGAGAAGAGGAGAAGAGGAAAAGTTGTCTCGGGGAAGAGAGAGGAAGAGAAAAGCAAGGTCACAATTGGAAAAGTTGGGCCAGAAACGCGTCAAAGGAGATTATCTCCCCCTCACCCAAGTAATTCAGATTGACCCACAACGGAGCAATTACAATTACCCCATGTCAAAATGTTTCGTTTTATTTTTAGGGTGCCAAATGAGTCAATTTGGCCCAATTGTCTCATTTTGAGTCAATTGGGGCAAATTGACCCATCAGAATGTGCCATCCAAACGACCCCTAAGTTGCATTCTCTCAGGGATCATCCAAGGCGGCAGAAGAGAGTCTGTTGTTAATGTTCTTGTAGTGTTTGTGGTTACTGCTAGCTTGTTTCTTCATCTCTATGTGCGCTTTGGCTTTTATCAAGGGGTGTTTCATTTTGAACACATTTTTTTGTTCATAATGATGTGACGAAAGACAAGACCTTTATGCTTCATTATTATAAATTTATGGTTTTCCCCACCTAAAATGCACCTAATACTAAAAAATTCACACAATACATAATTTGTCACATCTCGATCTCTAAAACCCTTAAATAACAGTTTTGCTCCGGAGCATATTTAAAATTTTGAAAGAAAGAAATAATAAGGTGCTCGAAATACCAATACTGAAAATACATCTTATAATCTAAAAGAAAAGCCCTAACATTTGGGCAAATCTCAATCCATAAAGTCTTATCCTTTTAAATCTCCAGTCATTACTCATAATCATAAAGCAAATAACTAAAGATTACAAATGCTGCTTACTCCGATCCGTGGTCAGACATCTTCAGAAGTGATGACGTGGTCCTCCTCCGGTAACCTGCTCTCTCACTGGATGCCCCCCGATTGGATGCTTCCTAGCTCCTCCTCTACAACCTGGTGATTGGGTTGGGGTTAGTCTACGCCGTTACTTAAACTTTAATCACTTACGGGTATTCCCTTAAGTGTTCACCTCAAAAACCCGTGGAAGTTATTTATAATTCCACCCTTTAAACTTTAACTCTTAAATAAACGTGGGAGTTGTTGTTACTTGCCACTCTCAAAACATTAAACCTTTGACCAACACTCCCCTCACTAACAAGTGCAGCCACCCAGCTCATACGTATGAGGGCCAACATAGGACTTTCCTTAAACCTTTTTATGGGAGTAATCGATTCAACCCCATAAACCTTAAGAGTATATCATACTCTTCATTTAAATTTCATGTGATGTCTAAGTGATCCATACACATGTTACTTAAGAGCAAACTTGCTCTTCCTTTAAACTTTCACTGGGGCGTGGAACTGGCGTTAGTGAACTACCTTTAAATCTTTTCACCCTAATTTAATTAGGAGTGAAATACCTCTTAAATGTTGATCCTTAAAAATCAACCAACCTTCATTAAATAAACATAAATATAAAAGCTTCAAGTAAATACTGAAAGCTCAAATAATCATCTCAGATAATATCTCAAATAAAACGTGCTTTATCAATCAAGACATAAATCAATCAATGGCATACAATTCACGTAGACACACATACTTTTAAACTCGTAAGTCAAACACTTGAAAACACGTAAGGCGTAGAATTTACCCCCTTAAACCACTCGCGTTATTTCCTTAGTGAAAACGACTCAGATTGACCTCCAACATGACTCGTTTTTCCTTTGACGAGATGACCAATTCCCTTATCGAATCTCTGAAAATTCCCATAAGATCGACCGGTTGGATTCCGATACTTTATATATGATGACCCATATATTTACATACGTACTAAAATCATCCCCTCAATATTAAACATCCCTCTGGTTACAACCCGAAGTACTCGTACTACATCCATCATTAGCCATGCAGTTCTCCTTTACATAAACGCAAAATCCACAATTAATTAATTGCCCTACTTCAATTAATTAAAATCTTACGTACTCATCCTCGAATGCAACCTAGATTTAATTGTTTGACGAACTACCTTTGTTCTTTCTAAAAATAAATATATCTACTTACTCAAATCATGCATGCTAGTAAGATCAAATTCTTGTTTTAATCGACACATACTTTACAAGGTAATTAAATTAATAATCTTAACATAACTATTTGCTCATCTATTACATAACTACATATTAATTTACTAGGTCATTTTCCCGTGCATGCTAAATCCTACATAGGTGATTTTAGCGTGTACTATTCCATTAGCCATATTTAATTTACATACGCAAATTAAACAGTTCCAATCACGTCACAATTATTCCTATTATACGAATCGTATTGAAATTTAACTAACCCGTTCCTCTCTTAAATTTTTTTCAAGCCATGCATGAGAAACTCCACGTTAAATATTACTCCCCGTTACTATCATTAATTCAATAACTACGGTAATTACTGAATTAATATAACTAGATACCTGAAACTTAAATCGACGTGGAAGGGGAGGTCTAGCTTGTTACCTTAACTTCGTGCCTAGAACGTGATGGCGGTTGTCCAAACTATATTCGACATTGATCTCATCGATTGATCACCCAATCACTTGGCCAACGTAACTACAATTTAATTGCGTACGTGAATTGGTTACTAAAATGTACTCGAACTATGAATGGTACTTAGGTTCGAGATCTCACCGATCGTGGGTCCTATATTAATGATAGGAGAAGGTGATGTCGAGGGAGATCGAGCAATGAAGGGGATGTTCTAACTACTATCGAATGAGGCTTCCACCGTACGAAGTGCGAATTGATGCTTGAGCTGCTTGTTGTTGTCGTGAAGAAAAAGGAATGGAAATGGAGTTGCTGCCTTCCATATGTTAGTCGAGAGGAAGGAGAATGGAAGGGACTGGGTTCTTTTTGGTTGTCGAGAGGAATGAAAGCATGTTGCTTGCTTGAGTTGTTGCTGCCGAGAGGAGAAGATGGAAGACAGTTGCTGTCTTGTGTCGAGAGGGAGAAAAGGAGAAGGTGTTGTCTTATCGTTTGCTGCCGAGGAGAATGAATGAATGGAAGGGTTGCCTCGAGTTGTCGAGAAGTGAATGGAGTGGAGGGGAGCTGCTGGAGCCTTATTGTCGAGAGGGAGAATGAAAGAAGGTGTTTGTCTCCTTGGTTTGTTTTTGTACCAAGAAGAAGATGGAAGGGTTTCTACTGCTGCTTTATTGGAAGAGATGAACGGAAGCATTCCTTCTTCCTTTTTCTTTAATGGAATTCTATTATATTGATTGGATCTTATCTTGCCATTATTTCAGATCTAGAGTAATTGTTGTAGGGACCAAGTGGTTGAATAATTGGTAGTGCTAGTTGTAGGGATATGATGATTTATGAAGGTTGCAGATCTCTAAGAGCAAGGACACGTAAATGGGAAGCCAGTCATTAAGTGTTCGCCATCGGCTGTAATTAAATTATTATTATTATAATAATTATTATTATTATTATTATTATTATTGTCTCTAATTCGTTGTTGTAATCCTTCGTACGTAATCGTCTATCTAAACGTTCACTTACTATGGACGAACAGAACCCAAATGTCGGGGTGTAACATAATTTACACAAAAGTTCTCAAAATACTATGTTTGATGTGGATTGCTTCTCATACCCGCTATATTAGTAGTGGTTCTTGGTAAAGTGAAGCAATCAATGTGGATCGCTAAAATTTAAAGTAATCTAAGAGTTGTTCACTTCAAATATAAGCGATTTGGTTGGTTCACACTGGAGGCACGCGATTGGCTCAGACGAAACAATGCAGATCACTTCAACATAGAGTGATGGACGATGCGTGGTGGTTGATCGGGAAACTCAGAGGCGAACCACGTGATTGATCTTTGATTTATTCGTTACAGGTGACTCGGATCACTAAAGAGGGAAGTATACACTCATCGTTTTCCTCACAGATCAATGACCCACTTTGATCATGCCCCTCTGGCGCGATATGCTCCCCCACAATAAACCCTATAAATACTCCCTCATTTGTATCATTACTTACACCGTCCATTCTTCTCCCTCCCTTCCTTCCACCATTGAAGGAAAATCTTAGTATGCCTGATTACCCACACTACAAAATTTTCTTTAAATTGATCATAAGACTATCATCCTTTCAAACTCTTGACGAATCTTTGTCTAACCTCTGCAAAAAATGGATCTATATCCTTGATCATATATTTTGGGATGAATGAATCCATTATTAAGCATCTTAGTGGTCTTTTGATGTCTTTTAAGGAACTAGTCAACGATCATGAAGAAGTTATGCCACACCACAGTTGATAAGAGCATACTTAGAGGGCCCGCTAATTAGCTAATCTTCATAATTAAATAACGTTACTCTATAGATCGATCTTGTTATGAAAGACCTATTACCGAATAATTCAGGGGTAGAGCCAAAGAATGTGAAATGTAGAACTTAACAGTAGCATCCTGGCCCTCCCTTCCCGTAAGGAAGAATGTGAATTTTTTTTCCTTTCCGCAATGACCAATACCTAAAGCTGTGAACCAAATACCTATTACAGGCCAAGCTGCTAAGAAGAAATGTAAAGAACGAGAGTTGTTGAAAGTAGCATATTGAAAGATCAATAAGCTAAAATAACCATGACCATTACAATATTATAAGTTTCTTCCTCTTAACTAATTTGTAACCTTCATTAGCATATTCGTTTTATGTGGTTTCCCTTATCAAAGTAGAAGTTACCAAGGAACCATGCATAGCAGTGAATAGGGACCTATCGAATATTCCAGCTACTTGCCTATGGTTAACACGTGAAGGCCAACATACACACCATTAATGCTCTCACCCATGTTCGTCATTGCGACAATATACCCAGCCCCTCCGCGTTGGTAAATTCAATTTTCAAGATCATGACTTTGCAACCACATGGCACCTTTTAGATGAATGTATCTTATGACAACATACTTTTGGTGTTGGTAGGCCGCAACTGCAACATTGGAAGACAAAAACAATGCAAGGGTAAAACAAGGAGCAAACATCCAATCCCAAATGATACAAAAATAATCCTAAAGCGTACTTACCAGCCCAATATACAAGTCATTAGGCAGAAAAATGAACAAATTATTGATCGTAATAGTTCTTGAAGTGTCGTATGCACATCACCACTTTCAATCAAACTCCCAATGAAATCATATATTGCATATGCAATCCTATGCTGACAATAAGAAATGATGGTATGTCATTTCATTGAGTTATATGTGTGTATAATTAAGGAAAAACCAAAACCAACTAGAGTTGTTCTCTTATTCGGCTACTTTAAATGAAAACGTAAACATTTGCTTGTAACTATCAACACTCGTGGCAATCAAGAAAGGTGTCATCCATTTGGATTATAGGTTGTTCAAAAAAGAGGTGATTCTCCTAAAAAGTGTCAGGGCTAACAGACCTGTCATGGCAGAACCATCACAAGTGTGGATATTTCGAGAAGGAGGAGTTTTGAAGGATCGAGAAACACAATGGAGTTAGAGAACTTCATATGGACCATGGAGCAGTACATTGAGGAAGCCGATATTTAAGACAAGAATGCCAAGGTAAGTACTACAACCCTTTATTTGGTGAATATTGCTATGCTATGGCGGAGAAGAAGACGAGGCGATGTCGATAGAGGAACGAGCACCATGGATTAATGGGCATAGTTCAAGTGGGAGATCAAAATTTAATTCTACCATGAGAATTTAGAACTTGAAGCAAGGTCGACAATACAACAAATTCGGCCTATTAGGACAAATTTTTTATTCTTTCATTTTTTGTTTGTCACAATAGGTATGGTGATATGACAAAAATAATAAATGTCCTAGTTGGTATGCCTAATGGACAAAAAAATTGTTGTCAAGATAGTTCGTCAGATAAAGTGAGTAATGTGACAAATATTTCGTGTCACAATTAATTTTGTCAAGATATGTGTCCCATATCGGGATGTAAGAGATTCAACAGTGACAAATTTCTGGTTGTCAGAATAGTTCGTCATTTAAAGTGAATAATGTGAAATATTTTGTGTCACAATTTATTGGTCAAAATAGGCATCCCAAATCGGGATGTAAGAGACACAAAAGTGACAAATTATATCGTCAAAGTAACTTTTGTCATATTATTCCTCAAAATAAAAAGTTAGTTTTTTACTTTTTCATTTTCATATTTTATTACACTCGACCAAAAATCCCTCCCAAGTCCCAGTCAAATTTTATTACGCCCGCCCAAAGTTCCCTCCCAAGTCACACCGAAATTTCCCTCCTTGCCTTCCTCATTTATTTTATTAATTTATATTTTGTGTTGCGTTGAAAAAAAATCAAATCAAATAAACTCTAGCAACCATGATTCTCTCCTCTCGTCTCACACAGTCACCTTGTCTCACCTTTTCAGAGCCGCCACGGCCGTTCTCTTCCTCTACAATCGTCTGCCCTTCACACACCAAAGGCCTCGTATTCTCCAACAACAACTCTGCTTGAAGGCGTGGCAGAGGACGAAGAGCTCCTCAAGATCGGAGGAGAGTAAGGAGGAGGAATTCTTGGTGGCAGGGGCAGAGAGAGGGGGACCGAGAAGTGAGAACGACGGTCAACATCGATGCCAGGGAGGCAAAGGTTGAGCTGGCATTGTTGGCAGATGGCTATTAGCTATCCACTTGCTCAATCGAAGATCCAAGCGAACCCAGAAGCCAGAATCGCATGAAAAGGGAGAAATCTCCTAAACGAGTTTGCTATTGTTAATTGATTAATTTGGTTGGTTTTTGTTGGAATTTGGTAGTATCTGATTAATTAACTTCAGTCCTCTTCATTTCCAGCTTGCTGGACTTAAGTTGTTGGCTGCTACTATGTTTAATGAATTCGATTCAGCCTACTTGACTCTTCATTCCTCCATTTTTGGGGGCGTTCTTGAGAATTCAGTCTATGTCTTCTTTTCGCCAATCGACTTTTTATCTCGTCGGTCACTCCGTACTGCTGCGTAAATCATCATCCATATCGTCATCTCAATCAGCTGTGGTTGGATCCTCGATTAGCTCTATAAGTCATTTGTCCTCCTCTGCCTCTCATGTCGCCTTATCATGAAAGATATGTATGTACTAGTGTGTGGTTTCGTTGGGAATTCTCCATGTAAAAAAGTGAGGTTTATTTGGGTTTTCTTGAAATGTTTGGGGTGCTTGGATTGGAGATATGGTCAAAATCTGTTGGGAGACACTACTATTGTGTTATGGTCTTCTGCTATAGGAATGTAAGGCTACCAGTGACTTCCTATTGATGCAGGTGAACCTTTCCTTTGGTTGTTGTTTATGGTTTCGTACCATTTTGTGACTTTTCAACCATGGTTGCTCTTTACTTGCTATGTAGTTTTGACTAGAGCCGCTTGACCACTTCCTTTTCTTAGTCATTTTCAGTTTCTTTTTGTTTTCTTTACCTTCCACCTCTGCTGTCTTTGTTTGAGAACAAAATTTCTACTTCATCAAAGTTCGGGGACTAGTGGTAATAAAATGGTGATATGTGATGACTTGATATATACACATGTTTTTACCCATCATTCCTGTACCGTTTGAGTGTCATCTCTCGTGTTTTAGGCCGATTTCACGCTAGGTTGTTCTTTTTTGTGATTTTCAGGTCCTAGTACATGAAAGAAGGTTTGGGCACGAGTTCGGGGTCGATTGGACGAAGTTGGGACGTTTGACGAAAAGCTGGAAATTCCACACGGGCACGCCTAAAAACCCACACGGGCGTGTGACCTGGCCGTGTGGCACCAAATTGCACGGGCAAGCCACACTGACCGTGTAAGGGACCCCCTGTGGCCGTGTGGAAAGTCCAGGGAGCTCACACGGGCAGCCTGGAAATCCACACGGCCGTGTGGTTTTGGCCGTGTAGCGTACCCGAAGCCACTTAAGTGAAATGCGACGTTTTGCACACTCACACGGGCAGCTGGGAAAGTCACACGGCCGTGTGGCCTGGCCGAGTGGTCGGGAATTTCTGGGTTTTAACCCAATTTCGAGCCAAAGGAGTGGGAATCGACTTTTTGGAGCAAAAAAAGAGCCCTAGAGAGAGAAAGTGCGAAGAACACCCCCTAAGAGTGGTTTTGGAGCTGGGTTTCATCAATCAAGCTTGGAAATCATCCGTGGAGTGAAGATCAT